ATTTTATTTTATTTTATTTATATCCCGCCTATCTAGCCAACTCAGGACCACTCTAGGTGGCTAACATCATCAGAGTTACTATAGTTACTGTATCTGTAACTATCCGATTTTCCTTTTTACTGTATCTGTAACTACATAGTATCTGTTCGATTCTTCTTTTTGTTTTAAAAAAGGCTTTGCTGTTTGGGATTGGAGGAATAGAATTGTAGCCTCAGTTAGAGCATGGACTGAATTTAAGATGTTTGATATGTCTACTGGCTTCTTCAATCTTAAATCTATCAAAACTTGAGAGAAGATGTATACTGTCAATAGCAGCAGGGTTTCCATTCCATGGAATTGGAAGAAGAACTCTTAATATACATTGTTATCGTGACCCTTTCTCACTCCTCAGATTAACAAACTAAACTATATGTATGGAATGAATGGCCAGAGGTAGAGGAAGAAGAATACACTTTTAGAATTTATTGATATGCATATAAAGTGATAGAACATTAACTAAGATGTGCTGTAGTTATTTGCACAGCAGATTAAATTTTTGCCAAAATCTTGTTGCAGTTTCGTGCTAGTGGATGGGGTGATAGGATAACTTACAGTGGCAAGTTACCACTAATAAGCATAAACAGTAATCCATATAGTGACTCATTAATTAGCAATAATTCGCTACTGTGAGTTACACCATCACCCTTCTACAGGCATACATATATCTGTGACAAGTTTTTGCCCTTTTTATTTCAGGTATGGTCTTGAGTACTACAGGACTCTCAGAACACACATGCTTTATACAGGAGTTTCTAAGGGCTACTTGTCTTGACTTTTCCCCTTACATATAAGTATAAATGGTTGGGTGTAAGGTCAAATGTGCATCAAATGTAAATGGAACAAAAACACTTCTGACTATTTTGTAACTTGTGAAGTGGACCTAAGTTTGGAATGGAGTGGAAAGGTTTTACAGGCAATGAAGGTTTTAAGAGTGACAGCTTTGGAACAGAAAAGGCATGCTTTGTTATTAATGCCATCTTGAAGTGATATCCATCTTATGCACTGAATAAGCCTTAGCCCTGAAGATATATCTTTGTTTCAGTTATGTAGCACTTGCATCTCACACAATTCATATTTCATTCTCCATTGTGACTGCACTGAGAATAGGTAAATAATGGCCCCCTTTTTTTGAAAGAGAAATGGATTTACTAATAATAACCAAATGATGCATCTTTTTGCTCTGACGTTCAACTGATACATTTTATGGGCTTCCTAGTTTACTTACGAAAGTAAAATTTGATTTGGTATCTACTAAATGAATTTAAGATGTTCATTCCTTCTCATAGTGTACCTATCTGCAAATACAGTTTTTCATTGTCAGTATGTTATCAGCTTTGTTTCCATTACAACAGTTAATTCACTGACAGTTCTTGGGAATATTATAATTGAAAGTTCCAACTTTCATGGTCATGATTTAGCTTCAGTCTGAATTTACGTTGATGCATTCTCTCTGCCTCATTAGAGGTAAATTGTGTTTAATTGCTTGCTTAGATGTATTTGTCTATACAGTATGAAATGCTGAGATTGACAGTGTAGCAATTATAGTGCAGTCTGATATAACTAAGCAAATAGATTGTATTATTAATTATTTCAAAATGAATCTTTAACTAAATTCTAATTTTTTGTTACCTATTTCCCGTTTAAGACAGCTAAAATTCTTAGGTTAGGAACAATGCATTGTGTTGAATGTGGGGTCTTATGTAGGAAACATGTGACAGGCAAGAACTAATAAATAAATGACAGTTGGAGAAGTCATATGCTAAGATGTGACAACCAACGATGCCAGAAAAGGTGGCTATAAAACTGGTAGATACACCATCAGTAAATCATAATACTATCAGATAAGATAAGCATGAAGATATTTCAGTGCATTAACAAAGGAGAGTCTGATTTAGGAGGTTCAGAGTGCAAACTGTTTTAGAAGACTGATCTGAACTGTCAGGCCACATTTTCTACTACATCTTGGAGATGGTCTGTACCACTAAGAAAAGAATGCAGTTCCTGAAATAGCCCTAAAGGAGGCTGCTCTCTTGAAGAAATGTATGTGTTATCTAGTCAGTGATTTTCAAACTGCAACTCCCAGAAATCCTGGCCAGCACAGCAAGTGGTGAAGGCTTCTGGGATTTGCAGTCCAAGAACATCTGGGGACCCCAGTTTGAGAACCACTAATTTAGATGATGGGGACGTGGTGGTGCTGCGGGTTAAACTGCAGAAGCCTCTGTGCTGTAAGGTCAGAAGACTAGTCGTTGTAAGATAGAATCCACGCGACAGAGTGAGCTCCTGTCGCTTGTCCCAGCTCCTTCCAACTTAGCAGTTCTAAAGCATGTAAAATGTGAGTAGATAAATAGGTACCACTTCAGTGGGAAGATAATGGCATTCCGTGTCTAGTTGCGCTGGCCACATGACCACGGAAACTGTCTACGGACAAACACTGGCTCTGTGGCTTGGAAATGGGGATGGGCACCATGCCCTAGAGTCGGACACAACTGGACTAAATGTCAAGGGGAACCTTTCCCTTATGATTCTTTTAATGTTCTTCAAAGTTAATCTGATCCTTGGTATTCACAAGTCATGGTCTCTACCACAGTCTGCTTCTCATCCTCTTTTTTGCAGGAAGAATATACCTTCTCCCATCCACTACTTCTGATTATTTAGTATGGTTGATTTTTATGTTGGTCATCTGATAATGTCCCTGTGTACAGTTGTCTATTTAGATTTTTTGAAGTGTGCATTTTCAAAGAGAGAGAGATAGTTGTCTTCACAGAATTCTATGAGTGTCTCCTGCTTCATTTCTGAATTTCTGATTCCCAAGCCAAATTCTCTAAAAATGTGTGGTTCTGCTTCATTTCCAATTTTTGCATTCCAGTCACCTATGATTATCAATATGTCATGTTGTGTGTGTGATCAGTTTCCTGGTGCTGGTTGGAGAGATGCTTCAGTTTGAAGTGACACAAACCCTGAACAGCGCTAATTTCTCCTTATATTTTTATAATTTTCTGATTGTCTTAGTAATATACATTAGAGGTTCCCAACCTTGAATAACCCAGGTGTTCTTGGATTGCAATTCCCAGAAGTCTAGTCTTCCAGCTGTGCTGTCTAGTGGTTCTGAGAGTTGCAATCCAAGAATACTTGGGTTACTCAAGTTTGGGAACCACTGATATACAAAAATATTACTACATTTTCTGGAAGTCATGAAATTAAGAATGCAGTTTGTTATTACTAAATTTATGCTACAACGATAGATTAGAAAAAACAAAAAAGCATATTTTTCAGAAGCTGTTATAATTTTAATACCTTTCTATTTCAATAGATAAACATTTCATTATGCAATTTGCTATGTCTTTGTATGGATTACTAAACTTAAATTAAGGGCCTCTTTTTGTAGGGCATCCATCCTGTCTGAAATTTTGTCTGGAGTTGACAACAAACGTCAAGGCCTTAAGATGGCAGTGTATTGAATGCAAAACATGCAGTGCCTGTAGAATCCAAGGCAAAAATGCAGTAAGTTTTAATTCCTTATTTCACTGTAATGTTTAAATTATTATTCAGTCTGCTGTTTTTTTGTGGTTTCTGTACCTCACAAAGTGGTTTTCGCATCTACTGACAGGTACCGTTTTTTTTGCTCCATAAGACGCACCTCTCCATAAGACACACCAAATTTTTAGGAGAAGAAAACAGATTTTTATTTTCCTGTTTTCTTCTCCTAAAAATTTGGTGTGTCTTATGGAGAGGTGCGTCTTATGGAGCAAAAAAAATGGTACCTATCAGTAGATGCGAAAACCACTTTGTGAGGTACAGAAACCACAAAAAAACAGCAGACTGAATAATAATTTAAACATTACAGTGAAATAAGGAATTAAAACTTACTGCATTTTTGCCTTGGATTCTACAGGCACTGCATGTTTTGCATTCAATACACTGCCATCTTAAGGCCTTGACGTTTGTTGTCAACTCCAGACAAAATTTCAGACAGGATGGATGCCCTACAAAAAGAGGCCCTTAATTTAAGTTTAGTAATCCATACAAAGACATAGCAAATTGCATAATGAAATGTTTATCTATTGAAATAGAAAGGTATTAAAATTATAACAGCTTCTGAAAAATATGCTTTTTTGTTTTTTCTAATCTATCGTTGTAGAAGCAAAAAATACAGTAGTTATCAACCTGCCTGCTGTTTAAGCATAAAGTCTGTAGTTCCCACTTGTGTTATTTTTCGTCAGCCTCTTCTCAATTTCTATTTAATTGTATTTGTCCTTCACCTTTTCATATTTATCTACTTTGTTCTCCTACTTAGTGCTTTTTTTAATCTTTTAGAATGATTGCCTTTCAAAATCGCTTTCGCGCTTGATTCTGCATGTGGAACTTTTGGCGTTTCCCCACAGGTGTACAGCTGTCGAAACAAATTTTCACCAAGCAGAGGCTACATGCATTTTTGTTGTATCTATGAAAGAGGACATTTTCCCTACTATTTAGGTTTTACTAACCAGTCCTATTGAAAATATTCACTGAAACTGTGGCCATTGCTTTGGGAACAAGGTGAATGCCTACTTGGTTAGGTTTCCCTGAATCACATTGGCAGGGTTAGTCCAATAAGTAGCATTCTTTAAAATATTTATTTTATTAAAGAGATTTTTATTCTTAACTTCATACAAATACCCCAGGGCTATTCAGAATAAAAATTTACAATTGAATAGAATTACATAGTTGAAATACTACAGCAAGCACAGTTTAAACCAATGCACATTCCAAATTTTCCAGCATTGCAAAAAACAAAACAAAACAAAACAAAACAAAACCACACACACAATAATTCCAGGCAGCAGAACTGTTAACAGCGTTATTGATTATTAACTTACAGTGTTTAATAATGAAAATAATTTTTTTGTTTCCTGTCTCTCTCAATTTCATATTCAGGATAATATGCTTTTCTGTGATTCTTGTGATAGAGGATTCCATATGGAGTGCTGTGACCCACCACTTTCTCGAATGCCAAAAGGTGATCTTTGAAATTGTTTTGCACGTGTGTGTCCTGGTGTTGCATTGTTGCACAGTCTTGGGTTTTCATTACAGTATCATGAATTATTTTCCTGATTTAGGTGAAAGTATTAGAGCACGTTGAGTCTTTGTAATATGGCATGATGAAGATTTTAAATGGCTCCTTTTTTTTAATACTGTACATTATTTATGGCTTCCATAAGGATCTACTTGAGCTTTGTTTGAGAGCTGCATAAGCCTTGTCTGTGTTTGGACATCATGCCAAATGGGCATGTGCCATTCTTTGTTTGTTTCTTTTTTTGGGGGGAGAGGGGTCCACATCCCAGAATTTTCTGTTCTTGGAATCCCACCTGTCCGACCCACACGTAAATTATGATCACTTGAAAAAAATCTGAGTTGAAAGACGTCATGGCCTAGGATAGGCCAAACTCTGGCCTATCTCCTTGTTTGAAAAGGAAGTTACCTCAGTGCTTACTGGCTCTTTTGCTCCCTTTGCCTCCTCCCCTGTGTTCAGAAGATACTGTATTGGAAGTTTTTACTTCCATTTTGGATTCCCCACAGCCTGTTGTGTCTGAAGCTGGAACTCTTGTAAATACTAATGATAGTTAGTTAAACCATTTTATACAGCAGATTACAAAACTGGCCTGTTGAAATTAACCATGTGAAATGAACCTGAATGAAATCAGTTCCATTAGTTGGTTGAACTTTAATTGAAATAAGTCTTGGAGTAAGAGTTGGCTTTTTAAAAACATTGTGAGTCTTACAGTGCTGTTTCCTATAAAATAAACTACTTAAACAACATGGAAATAGTATATTTCACTAGAATCTTTAACATAAAGCACCAAGAAAGGAGAAACTGATGAATCCAGGAGATAGGTGGCAGAGAAGCAATCTGAATACAACTAATGTAAAATTAACTAATAAGTAAATATTCAGACACTGATGCCTTGCAGAATTGTCTGTCTAGTTATTTGTGATTAAGGTTTATATTACTTCGTCTCTAACCTGATTAAAATACTTAATTACTCATTTAAAATTGAATTCATTGTACATCTTTTGATGTTATTATTTAAACATGCTAAGCCATTTGATAAGATGATAGATTCTTAATATTCAAATTAATTTGCAGAAAGTGGGTCTCCTAATGCTTCTCCTCCTCACTTTTTAAAACCAACTAATTTAATCTTTTATGGTAAAAACTTAAAGAAAGACAAAGGAATCCATTTATTTGTTATGTATGTTAAAATCATGATAAAACAGTTCTGTATTTGTGGAAATATATTCTGTAAGTGCAATTGACGTCCCATGTAAAACAAGCAGCTATTTGACTGATGTAGCCTGAAGAACCACTAGGAAGAAAATATATATCTCGAAAACAAATATTCTAAATAACTGAAATAAAACTAGATGATCACAAACAACGAACTGTAACTTTGAACAGTAAACTTTGAAATATTGGAGATCACTGAAGTTCCAAATAGAAGTAGACAGTTGAGGCAGAACAGTTTGAATGAGATATGTAAAGACCAATATGTATACAGTACTTTGCAACATTTCATTGATAGATAAAACTTTTACTTAAGAAATAACTACAGAAGTAATATATACATTAATTACATACATAGGAAATGATTATAGTTTATTTAACATGCAAATTCACACAGAGTTCTCGATACTAGATTAGTCTGAATTTTGCTAAGATGTTGCTGTCTCCAGGATTTTTGGAGGGAAAATAAGTAAAGCTGCATATGCAATATGAGGAAAGTCCATCCACATAGCATGCACTGCTGCAACACACCTGCACCTTTTCATTATGGACATTTAGAAACCAACGTGGTAAGAGGAGAAAACCTTTACAACACTACCAACACAGAACACAAGAGGCATCAGAATATGACAGACAGCATAAAAACAAACACAGATGTTCTCATTATGTGGGAGCATTTAAAAACATAAACACAGATGTTTTGAAATGGATTGGGTATTTCCTGGCATCACTGCCCTTATCATAATATTGACAGTTTTACCTGACATGTTAAGAAAAGGCTCCTGGTGCTAGAATGGTCTACTTCACCTTGGAAATGTTGATGAATTTACTGTAAAGAGTAGTGGTGAGGTCTGTGGAGAGTATCTTGTCAGGGAAAGAAAAATGGCTATGCATGATTGTAGCTGTTCATTTTGCTTTTCATATTGTTATCACTGCTCCTTTTACAGCAGTTAAGACATAAAATGAGTTTTTCACTAGTTGACTTTTGAAAGGTAAACATTATTTCTTTGTTGTCTCTGCAATGAATACCCCTGGCTTTTAGCACTTGCATGAAGCTGTCTTCAAACACTTCTAGAGCCTAACAGCTTTCTTCAGTGGCTCCACCTCTGACTTCAAGCATATCTGTTGGCATCTCACAGTCCATTCTTCAGTTCCTTCTTTCTTTGCCATGATAGCATGGAACTTTTTTTCCTTCCTACTCTCTCTCTCATTGCTTTTTATAAATAGTTTCTTCCTTTGTCTTCTGTTTTACTCTTTCTCTGCCTCTACAGAAAAAAAAGTCTTGGTTTATTTTATGTTCATTTCTCCTTTCTGTGTGGCCATTTATACCTGAGAGAGCCCCTTCAAATAATGTTCTGTCTGTGAGAGAAAGTTGCCTTAATGTAATGCTTACAAGTGCCCTTATTGCCTCAGACAGAGTCAGAAAACCAATTAGTGCCGTATATGGAAAGGCAGGCCTTAAAAACCAAATCTTTCACCTAAAGTGTTACTTTTGAAAACAATCCTCCAAAGCTGCAGCTGTGGCCGCTGAAGAACCAACTGAACTGGTCACCACAATTTGCAAAACTCCTTTGAAAAAAGCTCTCATGGCTGAGCTTGCTCCCACTGATACCAGCCCTGTGGGATTGTATTGACACCTTTGACATTGGTACTGAGAATCTCAACATACTTTGTACTGGCACAGATGACTTAATGGGAGTGCAGTACGGTGTACACCAAATCTTCTACAAAATATTTCTCTAGAAGAAAACAAAACAGGTCTCAGACCTACCAGCCAAAGCAAAAGAAGCACAAGAAGCGAGACAAGACTGTGAAGACATCTTCAGGTGTTGTACCACTTAGAGCTACCCAGCTCCCTGAGACACCTGCTGCACATCGATTCTGACAGTCATACAACAGTCATGCTGTAAGCTCATTCTCTGAGAGTAAGCTGCACATCATGTTGCTACAGAGCTCACACCTCATGAGTATCAACCCGACATCGCTTGGTATAAGCAATAAGCCATGCTAAATCTGCCTCAGCATCAAGATCAAGATGCTACCTTTCAGACACTGCCTTGGTACTGATGATAGCAGTTCCCACCAACTCTGGTCCAAAACCAAAGGAAACCGACTCCACCTAGCCCTCGACACAGACATTCTCAATATGGGGAACCCACCTCTCCAAGTCCACCTTGGTATCACAGCCAGGACTGCATTAGATCAACCTCAAATCAATACTAATGACACTCCAGATTCCTGTAACAATTATATAGACTGTACCCTCTGTCTCAGGACACTCTATATATTTCTCTCTCCTTTCCTTCAAACCAATGAGGGGAGATCTTTGGTCCTGCAGACCACCAGATGTGGTGTACTACAAATAATGGGCTGGAGACAAACATGGCCACTATCATACAAGAAGCTGATCACCCAATTACAGTGGACCCTCTACTTACGGAATAAATCCGTATTAGAACGGTGGCTGCAGGTCGAAAAGTCCCTAGGTCGAGTCTCCATTGACCTACAGTGCATTGAAAACCGATTAATGCCGTAACCGGCCGTTTTTGTTCCATTTTGGTTTTTTTCTGGTCTGTAGGTCGATTCTCCAGCTGCAAGTCAAACCTAAATGTTGCGGCCAGAGAAGTCTGTAATTCGAAAAGTCTGTAAGTCGAGCTGTCTGTAAGTTGAGGGTCCACTGTACAGGGACAGGTCATCAACCTACTGTCAACATCCTTGTGATACCTACCATAGAGTACCACCAGCAGTTGTTTCGACGAGGCCTCTCAAAACTACACCAATGCCTAGACCAGCACAAGGTGTGATATTGCATCACAAATGGCAGCATTTATACTATGTCAATGCCAACTGACGTATTCCATCAGTAGAGACTGCTTCATGCACCCTACAAATCCCTTGTATCAGCTTTCTTGGCACTGGCCTACCAGGAACTCTGCGGGCTAGCCACCCAGTCCATACCATTAGAAACCACCTCAACTATTCCTTAACTGACTCCACTAACATCAGAACTGGTACAGCAGGATTACTCTCCTGATTTGGATTCTTCTGAAGATTTCCAAAATGTGTCCTCCCACTCTTTCCCCTCACCATTAGTCTTATCCACTGACCCTCTAATAATAGGACAGGATACCTGCTTACCCCCTCAGAGGATATCAAACAGTACTCCAATCTGGTAGTAAGGCTTGCAAAATCTCCCCAGCTCCCAACCAACTAAACAGGTCCCTGCAATTTATAAAACTCCTTTGATGAAAGCTCTCATGGCTGCATTCATTCATACTGATATGGACTCTGTGACATTCTGTTGAGCCTCCACTACCAGTATTAGACCCGCACACAGCTTCTGTCTCTCACCATATAGGCAACATGTACAATGTACATGAAGAAACAACCGCTTTTCTGGTCAGACACCTGAAACTGTACTTTGTTATAGTAAAGAGACACAATCAAAGGGTAAAGGAGAGATCCACGGCTACACATGTCAACAACGCGGGAATACAATTGGACTAGCTTGGGTGTCATTCTCCTCATTAGCCTCGCTAGGTATTTGGATTGCAAACTGCTAAGCAGCAATGACTGCTTAACAGCAGTTCATATGGGAAAAGCTGGAGCCTCTCCTCTGTCATCTCCCACAGGACTGCAAGGTAGTTGCCCTTTCTTTCATGCAGGAGGCCCACTTTTCTACTGCATGCCATATTCATTTGGCCAAGCCTATTGCAGACTGTGCATCAAAGACCATGTCTATTTCTGTTGTGTCACAGAGGCAAGCCTGTTGCTGCTCTTCTGGACTATCTGGATACTCCGAATTCAGAACTGAAGATCTGCTGTTTGACAGCAGTAGTCTTGTATTCGCGAAGGCTTTCACGGCCGGGATCTAATGGTTGTTGTGGGTTTTTCGGGGCTCTTAAGCCGTGTTCTGAAGGTTGTTCTTCCTGACATTTCGCCAGTCTCTGTGGCTGGCATCTTCAGAAGACTGGAGTAGGAACGCTGTCCATGCTCTGTTGGTGTTTGTTGGATAGTATTTATAGCTGTGGGAACGGCTTTTGTCTTTTTTCAGGAGATAGGGTGATCAGCATGTTTTTGTTGTGATAAGGGGGGGAGAGGGAGAGATTATCTGTCACTGTGGTTGATGAGTGTCGTTAGCTGGTCTTTTTTGTGCAATGATCTTTGGCCCTTGTGGCTGGGTTGGAGTTCGTTGACCTTTTGCAGGTTGTATTTTTCAGAATGGGCCGCCAGGCTGGGTTTAGTTTCAGGCCTTCTTCTTTCCTGTTGAAGTTTTGTTTATGTTTATGGATTTCAGTGGCTTCCCTGTGCAGTCTAACATACAGATTGCTGGTGTTGTCCTGTATTTCAGTATTTTGAAATAGAATTTCATGTCAAGCTTGTTTTAGGGCATGTTCAGCTACTGCGGATTTTTCCACTTGTTTTAATCTGCAGTGTCTCTCATGTTCTTTGATTCTGGTGTGAATGCTGCATTTTGTGGTCCCAATATATACCTGTCCACAACTGCAAGGTATCCGGTATACTCCTGCAGTGGTGAGGGGGTCCCTTCTGCCCTTGCTGACCGTAATATTTGTTGTATTTTTGTGGTGGGCTTGAATACTGTTTGTAGGTTGTGTTTTTTCAAAAGTTTCCCCATGCAGTCCATGACCCCTTTGATGTATGGCAGAAATACTTTATTTGCGGGTAGCTGTTTTTCTTCTTCAGTTTGGTGTTGTTTTCTTGGTTTGATGGCTCTTGTGATTTCATTTTTGGAGTAGCCATTTGCCTGTAGGGCCCAATTCAGATGGTTGAGTTCAGTGCAGAGAAACTGAGCTTCACAGTTCCGATTTGCACGGTCTACCAGTGTTTTGATTATGCCTCTTTTTTGCTGTGGGTGCTGGTTGGAGTTTTTCTGTAGGTACCGGTCTGTGTGGGTGGGTTTTCTGTAGATCTTGTGTCCCAATAGGAGGTCTTGTTTAATACCAGCTTGTTTAATCCCAATAGCAGTAGTCTTGTTAAATACCAGCAATGCAATGGATAAACTATACAAAAAGAGAATTACTTTCAAGAAAATGGATCTCAATGCTCAGCCTCTCATCTCCATTCCAAACAGTACAGGTATACAGTGGAACCTCTACTTACGAACGTCCCTAGCTATGAATGATCCGAGTTACAAACAGCTGCACTCGCAAAAGTTTGCCTCTATTTGCGAACAGAGGTTCAAGATACGAATGAAAAAAAAACTTTCCTGCCCTTTTTTTGTCCTAAGTTCACCTTATGTCAGAAGAAGAAGAAGAAGAAGAAAATTCTCCCCCTAGTGGTAGAGTATGGATTAACGGGCTTTGCATTAGTTCCTATGGGAACTAATGCCTCTACTTGTGAACAGCGTCTTTAGATAAGAACAAAAAACAGCCGGAATGGATTAAATGCTTTTCAGTGCATTCCTATGGGAAAATTTGTTTCTACTTACTAATGTTTCAACTAACTAACGTTTTCTGGGACAGATTAAGTTCATAAGTAGAGGTACCATTGTACATAGAAGCACTCATACATTCTCCAAACACGGACCTCCATCTGTCCAACTTCAGTGTTCACCAAGGACTTCTTCTCACTCACTGTAGAGACAATCTCATCAATTGAAGTACTCCACTTCAACAGTCAGTAGGAAGCAACCAAAGGAGGTGAAACCTCATAGTCGACCTCCAGGTCCACAAAGACCATGACACTCCTAACGTACAGGTCCCTGATCCATTCACACTACCTGCAGATTCATCCATAGTGTCTTACCTCAACACCAAGTGCACCGTCATTTCTGACTCCTGGGTACTCACCATTGTGGCCCAGGCATATACCATTGAATTCTTCCCTCTTCAACAGAGATGCCTTAGAGCAGTGGCACTGAAAGTAAGATGCAATTAAAGGTTTTCTGTTCTGTTTTTGTTTTTAATGGACATCAATTGCTTCTTATCTGAGAAGACAAAATCATAGAATAATGTAGTTGGAAGGGTCCTATAAGGCTATCAGGTCCAGCCCTCTGCTTAGTACAGGAATTCAGATCAAAACAGATCTCACAGATGGCTGTCCGGTTTTCTCCTGAATGTCTCCAGCCTTGGAGCACTCACACTTTCACTTCAAAATAATAGATTTAAAGTGAAACAGAAAGTGTCTCTCAAGTAGGAATGTGTCTGTTGTTGGTATGACATAATTAATTGGCTAAAAATACAGCACAGGAGCAGGTTAGGTGCTTACAACAACAATAGGCTGAATTGTTCTAGTATATTTTATCTTATAACTGAGCTTCTGTAAAATGGAATATACTATCATAAGAAAAAATTGCAGCTTATTGCAAGCAATCCCATTAGTATAAAAGGCTGAAAATAAGATTAAATTGAGATCTGGACCAAAATTAATATACAGTGATGCCTCGCATAACAATGTTAATTGGTTCCATTAAAAACATCGTTATGTGAAAACATCGTTAAGCGAAACACCATTTTCCATAGGAATGCATTGAAAACCAGTTAATCCGTTCCAATAGGAGCCTATTCAATACATTTCAATGGTAAAAAAAAATCACCAAAAATTCAAAAAGACTCAGAACGAAGCCAAATTACTTTAACGAAGGTTTTATTAGGTGCACTAATGATTCCAAGCATTTTAAACATTTTAAAACATTTTAGAATATTTTTAAAATAGCGAAAACAGGGCTGTCAAAAAAAAGTTAAGCGAAACAGGGGACCTAAAACTGTCATCGTTAAGTGAAGCAAGGTCCCAAACATCGTTATGCGAAAAGCCCCCATAGGGAACATCGTTAGGTGAGGTGGCAAAATTTCCAGCAAAGGCCATCGTTATGCAAATTCATCGTTGAGCGAGGCACTCGTTAAGCGAGGCACCACTGTATATATTTTTAAAAACTCAGGATGTCCCCTTTTGCCCTCCTCTGGTTCTGCTGGAAGTTTTGCCATCCCCCTCCCCACAATGCTCCAGGAAAATTACTTTTAAAAAATTCAGGAACTAGAACACATTATTGTTTTTAAAATTAAAACAAGCAAATATTGGGGTGAATGGATAGGAAACAGGAATGGGTGGATTCCTCCAAGGTCCAAAGGTGGCATATATGGCTCCCAGACTTTCAAAAGTGGTGGCTCCTAACCTAAGGCAAGAGACAGCTCTCTGTTCTGCAACCAGCCTTGTATTTTGAAGACCATTTTTAAAATCCCAGTAGGCATTGCTAGTAATGTAATATGATATCTCATAGCTATCCATGATTCTTGGAGCCTCCATTCTCCATCTTGAGACTAGGTTTACCTACAAACCTCATGGTTTAAAAATCTAGCCAGATTTTTGTACTTCCTTACTTCTCCCCATCCCCTTTAAAATAACTTCACCTGATAAATAATTCTGAAAAATGTGAAAGTTGTCACACTGTAGTGGAAATGTCGTTGGCTAAAATAATGGTATTACTTCTCTATGGGTCTTTGATTTTTGTTTTCTGCTTATGAATTAACATGACAGCCATCATTTTCAGGTTGAGAAATCACATAGATATCACATTCATTAGATCTTAGGTTCACATCTCATACATTCAGTTTCTTGCCAAAACATTTGGGGAGAAAAGGGTAGACAGTAGGTTGAGGTGTCATGCAAATCAAAGGTTCTCCTTCTCCTTCTAGATAGAAAATCGGTGTTTACAAGAAAGGGCTTGCATTTCTCATTTTGCATGCTAATTGGGAACATATTGCTAGTGTGAACAGTTAACACAATAAACTGGATTTATATTAATATCAATACAGGGATGTGGATTTGCCAGGTCTGCAGACCAAAGAAAAAAGGTAGAAAGTTACTTCATGAGAAAGCATCACAGATAAGGCGGCGGTACACAAAACCTGTTGGGCGACCAAAAAATAAATTAAAGCAACGAATGTTGTAAGTATTATTGTATCTGGTTTATCTCTCCCATTGTGACGGTCTTAACTGAATTCTTATGGGAGAGTATCTTTCAGGGTTTATTTCCTTTTTTCACAACTGAGTTGCTCTGTATTACATATCTTGCTGCCACTAAACTTTGTGATATTTGGCATTGTATTTCTAAACATAAAATTATAAGAAAGGAGGCTTGAAAGAAGTGTAGAAACATACACCACAACATTCTAGCTAATGGAATTTAGCACAGGGATTTATTGTACTAATTTGACTTACTTTGCAAATAATGAGATGAATGTGACTCATGTGACCTCCAGTATTACCCTTGTCACCCAATCAATGTCTTCTGGTGTTAAAAGTTGTGGAAGTTGTATATGTTGTGGATCCCCCCCCCAATCACCTTCTGAAAATCTGGAAATGAGTGTTTACTATATGAATTGTTCACTTGGTAGTGAACAATGTCTCAGCCAGCAAGTGCAAAATTACCAAGTTTATTTTTCAGTTATGGGAGCCTACATATTAAGCATTGGGATGAGAAAAGTTAATTGACCCTCATTGAAGTGTTGGATCAAAATTTGTCTTTGCATCAAAATATGGTGTAGAATTTCAAAATTGGCTGTTTGTGACTGTTCAGAAGTGTATGTTCTATGGGTAAATTTCTTCATATTTTACAAGCATATAAAATGAGGGGAGGGGTATCATGTTAATGTCATGCTAATATATAATACAAAGATTTAACATAGAAATAGACATTGAAATGTATTTTGCATCTGTAGAAGTGAGAATAATTGATATGTCGTTATCAGTTCCAGAATAATACCGCTGTGAAAAATATCAGAACAGATTAGATCCGCAGGCTAGTCTGAGTGAAATGTATCTCATTCACAGGAGTATAATATTTTATTAAATCAATTTGAAATAAAATATATTGTTAATGGCAGAATGATCATTCTTTAGTGGTCCTTTGTTTGTAGCATTGAACAGTGATGTGAAAATATGACATCAGAAACTTGTTAACCTCCATAGGAAAATGGTTGTTAGCAGATGTGCTTCCAGGTAATGGGTTTTATAGCTGTGGAGTACTATAATACCAAATAATAGGATTTACAGCACTTCGGAAATATAAGACCCATTACTTGAAAGTACATGTGCAGTGTTTGGCATCAGAATTTATAGGAAACCTGGGGTAACAAGTTAGAAAATTAACCAGGCTGTGTTTACTAAGAATCATCTATGTTCAGTTATGTGTAGAGAGTAGGACATAGGCTAAACAGGGATGAACGGCTGCTGGAGTTCTGTGGGGCCTATGGCTGCCCCAGACTGGTTCATCTCTGATTTTTTTAAAAAGTAAGTATGATGTTATTGCTAAGAAAAAAAAAATAGGGGAAAACTGTTTTCTACAAAATACATACTTTAATAAGAGGATGGGAGGTGGGAGGACATAGAATAAATTTAAAGATATTGTGTAGCTTTCTGTTGGTTTTCAGTTTGATAACCTTGCTTGCTTACATGCATGTGTGGAGTGATTCCCCATTTGATCACAAATAGAGATTAGTTTGGTGTTTACTTCAATAAAATACTGTTGAATATTTCCTTAAGTGATCTGCATCTTCAATTATTAGTTTAAATCAGTACTTCTTTGAGCAAGCTTTATGTACTTTTCCGGTAAAACACGAGTTTTGCTCCTCAGTATTTTCCAACTGTGCCTTGCACAAGGTTGATATTGGGCTCCTGTACTATTTATTCCTTTTATTTTATTACTATTATTGCATTATTTTATGCTTTTTATATGCATTAATATTAAATTTCAAACACTATTTTAAAGACTGGTTTAATTTCTGCTTTTGTACAACATTTGTGTGTGTGTGTGTGTGTAATGACATTGATCTAATTTTATAGCGTTCATGAAGCAGAATAGTTATTGAGGTCACACAATTCCCCCCACCCCGCATGGAGCTCGCTCCTCTCAGCCGGTCTGTGGCCCCAAAAAAGTTGGGGACCACTGCTTTAGTTAACTACTTTAACTGATGAATTTTTCATGACGCAAAGCTTTTATGGATTGTAGTCCAAATAATCAGATAAAGTATTGTAACTCAGGATAACACTTCCCATATATTTGGAAATTGGCTGTAGCCTGGGAAAGTTTATGTTAAAAAATATTTGTTAGGCTTTAAGATGCCATAACACTCTCCATTATTTTGTTTGCAGCAGACTAATACAGCTACTCTTCTGGAAGTTCTTACTTGAACTTGTGTTCTTAATACTTATCTATGCAGTCTCACATAGGCAGGGCTTGAAAAATGTGCTTATCTACCCATCTGTGCTGAGAGAAAAATGCTGCTGGACATGTGACAGCTTCCTCCCTGCCTGCCTCCTTCCCCTCCAACTGTCTCTCTCTTTCTAATCCTGCAGTCCTCCCCTCCCTCCCATCACAAGAAGCTCATAAAGATATAGCTCTGCAGGAGAATGTAGAGTAGTCCCATGCTGGAGAATATGGAGATTCCCTGCTCCCAATTTCAACTGAACAAGGACACATCCTGGGGTGAGAAGGAACTGTGGCTCCTTAAGAGGCCGGGTGCTTTTGCTTTCAGTTTTATTTTTGCTGGAGACATTCAAAAGAAAGGCATTCAAAATGCAAGCTTCATGACCCCACAGGCACGCAGGTAATAAAGCAACCCAAGTCTGAGGGTATAAATCAGTGATTCCCTATCGCAATAAATTGCAAGTCCAGTCATGCTGATTGATGAAATTTTTAACTAACTGGTGATACATTCTAAAAAAATTTCAAGCCTTACACATAGGATTTGGACACGTGTGGTAGAAGTATTGCATTGCTCTTCTAGATGTTTAAATCAGGGAAGGGAAGCTCATTCTATTGTCACTTTTTCTTTCTCCCTTTATTGTTTTCTGGTAGTTCAAATGAGCAAAGTCCTTAGTTAGAGTATTAGAAAGGTTGTAATAACAGAATACTTACAATATGGGATTATGAAGATGACCATGGTTGAAAAATCTGGGATCATCTTAATCAAGGTTAACACTGGTGCTGACAATCCTTTAGCTATGTTCAAAGTGGGGAAGAAGAAATTAACTCAATTTGTTAACTTTGCTGAAATGAAGCTGTTATTTCTGCATTGGTTCATAGGATTATAGCAGTGGTCCCCAACCTTGGGCCTCCAGATGTTCTTGGACTTCAACTCCCAGAAATCCTGGCCAGCAGAGGTGGTGGCGAAGGCTTTTGGGAATTGTAGTTCAACAACATCTGGAAGCCCAACGTTGAGGATCACTGGCTTATAGAATCATGGACTTCGCTGTGGAACAAACTTCCTATGAGACAGGGGTCCTCCCTACAGATCTTTAAAAGATTATTAAAGACAGAACTGTTTAAGGAGGCCTTTGGCAACCTCTTAGGCTGCTCTGTGGGACCTGCACACTATATTTGTAATTATGGCTTTGATTATTTTTGCTATGCTAGTGCATATTTCGTTTATTATGTTATGTTGTATGTAATTTTGTTTGATTTAAGTTATCAAGTGGATATTTTGGGTAACTTTTTCTTTTAATTTGTGGTGTTATGTTTTCTGATTTGTTTTTATTATTCTAGTTGGTTGTATGCTTTCCTTGATTTTGTAAACTAGCCCAGGTAGTGTCCCCACTAAGTAAGGCAATCTATAAGCTTTATAAATAAAATAAAAATAAAGAATAATTGAGTTGGAATGGGCCCATAAAGCCATCAAGTCCAACTCCCTACTTAGTGCAGGAATCCAATTTAAAATATACTGTATCTGACAGTTGGATGTCTAACTTTCTCTTGAATGCCTCCAGTGTTGAAGTGTTCACCACCTCCTGAGGTACTTGGTTCCATTGTCCCTCTGCTCTCTGACATTCAGCTGAAATCTTGCTTCTCGTTACTTCAGCCTTTTACAGTGCTATCCTTCACTGAATGAGAACAGATTCTGTCCTTTCCCTGTATGACAACCTTTTAAGTATTTGAAGGGCACTATTATATCTTCCCCCCAGGCTTCTTGAGGATAAAATTTCCCAGTACAGTACTTTCAGTTTTTAGGTTTATTATACCTATTTGATGTACAAGAGTGCTTAATAACACTTGCATTTTCTGTTCTTACAAAAGCTTTGGATATCTAATCATATTTACTATTTTATAACAAAGGAAATAAAGTTGAGAGAAGATGGCTTCTTCAGGAAGTTGAGTGCTGGACTAGAGTTGAGGCAAGCCTTAGTTAACTGTCATTATTTAACCAGTCCTTTCCTTCCCCAAAATCAGCTAAAATAAATTTAGCATACTGTACAATCTCTTGGAAGAGCTTTTGTTTGAAAGTAACATGGGGACATGTTTTTATTTGCAGCAGTTTCTGGAAATGGGATTAGCTGTATTAGTCTGTTGAAGCAGAAACAACAAAGAATGTTATGAACACTTGAAGACTAGCGAGTTTATTTGCAATGAAATTTTGAGGATTACTTTCAGTCCACTTCATGATATACTGTACAGTATAGTCCAGAAAAGGTTCTAATAAGCAAAAATTGTTGGTTTTTATGGTGCTACAAAGCTCTTTCGTTGTTTTTGTTTCATGAGACCTCATGACTGGTAACTATTCAGATAGTCACAAGTTCATTAAATTTCAAATTAAGTGTCATTAGTAGTTTGTATGCTATAGTGGTGCCATTGATTTATAATGTTCTTCAGTGCTAACTTCAATTTTTCCTCCAAAATTTCTTTGCCAGGTCTGTAACCAGCGCTGAAGGATCCATGAATGCATTCACAGGAAGGGGGTCACCTGGTAGGGGTCAAAAGACTAAAGTCTGTACCACACCTTCATCTGGTCATGCTGCATCTGTGAAGGAATCAAGCAGCAGATTGGCTGTTACAGACCCCACCTGGCCTGGTGCCACCGCCACCAAAATCATCACCTCCACCTCCACCTACATACCTGCCTCTACACTTAATGTTAACAAGAAAACCAAAGGGCTCATAGATGGCCTTACTAAGTTTTTTACACCATCACCCGATGGTCGCAGATCACGAGGTGAAATAATAGACTTTTCAAAGCATTACCATCCAAGGAAAATGGCCTCTCAGAAAAAAACATGTACTTCCCATGTGTTGGCTACAGGTACCACACAAAAGCTAAAACCTTCTTCACTTCCACACCAAACCCCCATCTCTGGTCAGAGCCCCAGTTCACAAAAATCTGGCAATTCCATCTCTTCTAATTCTCCCCAGAGCTCTTCCAGTCAGTCAAGTGCACCCTCCTTTAGCAGCCTTCCTAATAACAGTCAGCTAAAGGGACTCTTTGATGGACTTTCTCATATTTATGCCACTCAGGGACAGTCTCGAAAAAAAGGGCATCCAAGTTATGCACCGCCCAAACGTTTGCATCGTAAAACACCGTTCTCTTCTGCATCCAAGTCTAGTACTGCTTTCTATGGAAAGAAAGAGATTAGAAGTAGGTTTATTTCTCATTCCTCCACCTCTGGATGGGGTATGTCTAGAGGACGTGCTTTTAAAGCAGTTGCTCACTTCAAGCAAACAACTTTCCTTAAAAAGCGCATGATTCTAGGCAGATTAAAGTATAAAGTGACCCCTCAGATGGGGACCCCCTCACCAGGGAAGGGGAGCTTGGCAGACGGAAGGATTAAACCTGATCAGAATGATGGTAAGCAACAGGTCAAAGCGCCAACCAAACCTGCGTCCCGTCCAAATCCAAATTCTTATTTTGTCACATAGGCCTCAGCTATTTTTCTTGTTCTTACTTCACTCTCATACAAAGCAGTGAACGTTGATCTTTTAACTAATGCTGATTAAATCTCCAAAGTGTTTTTCCAACTAATCCTGTACCACCTTGTTCTTTGTCAGTTTTTTTGCATATGTAGCAACAGTAGTGCCCCCAACCCTATGTGTTCATAATGTTGCTTATGCTTTTTGTAGTAGTGTGTTGGTAGCCACTCCATGCTGTCCTTTTCCCCTTTCTTTGGCCACAGTACTGTTGGCATTTATTAGGATGTCCATTTCAACTCTTTGTTTCCCTCTCCTCCATTGCTTTTCCATGCCACATTCCATTCTGCTACACAACACTGGATCTATAACTGCTGTGAAATTTGCTTTTTGTATTTTTTTATATAAATCTGTTCTTTAAGAAAAGAAATGTATTACTAGCTTTAGCCTCTTCTAATATGATTTAAATAGTATTGTCTTAAGATTAATGGAGTGTTGAAAGCTTTATCTTTAACAATAAGGTGAAATTGGAAGTTTTGCTAAAATATATGAAATATGTGCTGCTCTTTCAATTGTTCAGTATAGTTTTGTACAGAAATTGTTAGTTTGTTGGGTAGGGGTAGAGTGTGAAAGCTAATTTCGGTGGTGAATTCAAATCCTACTGATAACTGGCAGCATTTATTTGAAATAAATGTAACAATATTTTTGTGGTACAGCTATTATAATTTGATAAAGGTTTGCTGTCAAGTGAGAAATAGGATGTTACAGTTATAACTGTTTATGGTATATACTGGAAATGTCATTCTGGTAGCATAAGGGCAATTTTCACCATCATGTTGGTGAATTAACTCTCTGCTCATTTTTAATAACAGGTACAGAAATTCAAATAAGCATCAAAGAAGAAAACTCTGATCTGTTTCTGATGGGAAGCAAGGACATTGTTACAGAAGAAGATTTGGAAATGTTTAAGCAGGCCCAGGAACTTGCTATGGAGGTATGGTTCCCAGTTCCCAGGTATAGTTTGGTAGTTAACAGTATGTAATTGTAGCTAAATCATGCTGATTTTGTCATACTGTGCTTAAGCTTGCATTAATTTAAGGATTAATTAAAAGTCCCATTAAATTTAGTTCCCCTTTTTAATAGAGTAGAAACTGTCAAGGATAACCCTAGATAGCTGATATGTATAGAACAGCTATATGCAAGTGTGGATTCCTTTCTTTCTTAAAAAAATTAAATATTTTAAGCAAGATCTGACATGATCATGCATTATATTGCTGTTAATGTGTCATCAGCTTACCTCTGACCCATGGTGACTATGAATGAATGACATGTCATTTTGCATTATATATTCTGTTAAATCCAGTATTGCATTGGTGGAATGTTTGGAACTTTCTTCCTTTCCCCTTCTTCTGTAGCCCCAAAACTAGCTCACAGGGGCTTTCCAGACCTCCAGAACTAATTTTGAGGCAACACTGAGGGGAACTGTAGTGGGAAGGGGAGCATGGTTGCATAGATCTACTTGATTTATTTATTTTTAACAATTGAAATCTAATGTTGCATCCCATCCTTAGTTTTTTGTAAAGTAGTTTATATGCTTTTTAGAGGCACAGCTCTACCCTAGCAAGCCATCTGTGTGGGGGTGCCCAACTCCAACACAGAAGTGGCACTAAAGATGCCACTCCCAGCATCAGAGAGGGTTGAATGCAAAGAGTGCTGACCAGGAATGCAAAGAGTGCTGCAGCACGAGGGCCAGCTGCCCTGCAGGTACACTGACCCTTATTGAGGAAAGCCGAACTGCTGGGGCTGGTGACTTAGACTCAGTTGTAGCAGTAGATATTAGGTGACTCAAATCCAATGGCAGTAACCAGAACTTGAGTAGAAAGACTCCCAGAAATGAGTGACAGGACTTTGTTACAACTCATTATTATTAGCCTGATGAGTCAGTGGAGCCCACAATGGAGGATAGCAGCCCTGCTTCACCACACCTCTGAGGGGGTGGCAGGGATCATACACTGCTTTTCCACAACGATTTGTTCCTGAGACAGCTCCCAGTAGATACTAAACACAACTAAAATGAGAATTCATTTCCAATAATAACTTCTAGTAAATAGCAGTAAATACAGTAATTCTATTCAGCAAATATTATAGTTTGGAAATAATTATGTAACCATACTTTCAGCAAATAAAAACATTAGAAATACTCTAATACCAAAACTTCAATAACATAATATGGGCAATACTGTTTATAAAATATATTACAATACACATGATGACAGTAGAGATTTAAAAATGTGTGTATAAACTGGTAAGCAAGTATGCTTCTCTTACATTATAACCCCCCAAGCTCTCATCTTAAAATATTTCTCTAAGTGAGAAAATCATAATGTTCTTTATGATCTTCTCACGTAGAGAAATATTTTAAGACTTTTATGAACACTCCCTACCATAGCTGGCTGTACCATATACGTGGTCAGCAGCCATCTTTTGGTGATGGAGTAAGTGAGCTCTGGGCCTGATAAAATCGGTAAGTTAGACAGAGAAGCTAGGGACTAGTTTTTACTGGTTTCAGAACTTAAGGGACTCTCTGTGTAGCTTTGGTCTGATGCTCCCTTTACTTTCTTGGTTCCTTCTTATAACTAGCTTGTATATGGAGCAAGGTTTACATTATCTCTTTTCTACTTCTTCATTTTTATTTTCCATTGCATCTTTTATCCTCTTTTGTTGTGTGGAGAAATTAGAATAGAATTTAAAGGCTGAGGAATGTAGCATTAATACAGCTCTTCCTTCATTAGTTAAAAATTCCAGCTGGTTTCTGTTATTTCTCAATCTCTCCTTTTTTCCTTTCTTTTTGTGTGTGTGTGTTTCTTTCTTTTATTCCCATGTTTTCAAGCCTTCCCCCATTATATGTTTGCCTTTCCTGAAATAAACTATTAATTTCAGAGTAATCTTGATCTGTTTTGTTCATGATATAATCTCTTATCCATTTTCTTACGTATTTTATATGAAGTATAAAATCTTTTCATCTTTGAGCTTGATATAGAAAATTAGAATGAAGTCCAGCTGCTTATAAAAGGAGGTTAAATACTTTCAGAGCCAAATCTGTTGGCTTGCTGAGTCGCAATTGCTCACTTCCTATATGCCCTTTAGTGAATACGGGTTTTCCTGTATTATAGCTATAGTAAACAAGGACTGTTAGCATTTAATTCTCTGCAAACAGATTCGTGCAACTTAATACATAGTATCATTTTTAGAATCCAGCAAAACTGTCTGATTAATGGGGCATGATGGAAAAAGAATTTTTGTTGTACACTTACAAACTTCTTTAAAACTTGTCATTAATAGAAGATTGGTTGTAAAAATGGAGGAGAAGCAAATGGACGGTACCCATCTGTTATAGAATTCGGGAAATTCGAGATACAGACTTGGTACTCCTCACCTTATCCACAGGAATATGCAAGGTAAGGAATAGTCCTTTCATTTTTAACAGTGGCCAACTTTAGCTATTCTGTAGGCTGCATCTTTCCACCAATGGATGCTGTGCCGGAAAGAGGAGAAAAAGCCACGTGGTTCTTGCATACAATCCAAAGACAAAGGCAGGTGATATTTTTAATAGATCAGAGGGAAAAGCTAGGTTTGGATTCCACAGAAGTCTTCGTCAGGCTGGACGTTACAGAGATAGGGGTGGAACTGAAGAAATGAAAGTTCAAAATCTGTGGCCAGATATGTGGGCCAGATATGTAACTCATTCTACAGCCCCCATTCTGGAACTTACTTTAAAAATGGAAACTGGGTCCATAACTCTGGCCATTTATTTTGGAACATTTTTGTTTCTTACGCACCAGCCACAGCTCTATAATAGTCTGCTGAAGATTCCTGTAGAGCTCAAAGCTAGCTTCTGTTTAAACAAGGAAGGAATTTTTATTTGTTTGTTTTAATGGGATTTTCCTAGTTCACCTCTGAATTTTGGTGGCAAACCATGAAAACTTATTTGAAGCAAGAACTTGATAGTTTTTACTGGTTGCCACAGACATTCTGTGGCACAGTTTGCCATCAAATTTGGTGATATTGTGCTGGGGAGCCTGAAAGAGATATGGTTGCAATAAAATGCAACTATAGCAGAAATAAAAATAGAAGATTAACAGGAATAAAAATAAAAGATTTGTGCTGCCTTCAAGACTGACAAATTTATTTCAGTGGGATATTTCATGGTTTGTCGTTCACTTACTCATATATGGAACATAATAATGGGGTGATGACATAATCTTACAAAGAGGATCATAATCCATACATTTGTTAGTCTTTAAAGTGCCACAACTCTTTTAAAAATATTTTTGTTCCATATGCTGAAACACACTAACAGAGCTATCTTTTTGAAAAACGAAGTGCAACATTGTTTTTTGTATAAATGTTCTTAATTTTCAGCTTTGATTAGGAACTCTTACTTCAGAGACTTTACAAAAATTTAATTTCTGTAGTATCAGGCCAAAAGGAGAAAAATATATTGTTGGTCAGCAGTAGTGATTTGCAGCAAAGTAAAGAGGTATACCATATAAGTTCCAGTCCCCAGTTCCAGAACAAGGGAATATCTATAGATACATATCTTCATTGCATGCTTTTTTGATTGAATATATCAATAATGATGTCAATTTTTAATAAATTAAAATGCAGTGAGTTCAGAAACTTGCAATGACTATCAAATATGAATTCTGCAGAGATCTAACAAGAATCTTATCGAAGGGGCTAGTAAGTTCTTGTAACCAGATGAGCCAAAAAACATTCACTTTGAAGATGGCAAAACAAAAAACCCTAACTTGATTGACTTTCCGTTCCTGGAACAACAACAACAAGAAGAATATGATTATAGTAGTAATGACTGACAGAGAAGAAACTGGCACTTTAAAATGAGCCAGTGACCATATAGATACCTAAGTGGGAAGAAGTATGTCTGTCAGCCCGATCATAATTGATATTTTGTATAGCTCTTAGGCTTCTAATTTCATAGAGAGATCTTAAACTTGTATGTAAAATGAAAAAAAAAAACACCAGTAAAACAATTCAGCCCATCCTCTTTCCATATTTGGAATATATTCCCTTTGCTTCCAAGCAACTTTTTAATGGTGAAGGACACTTACGTGCTGCTTCAATAAGAATTGGAAGACTGGTATTAAAATTAACAGGCAAAGTGAAACTTCATGCCGTGAACCCTGTCTGCCTTATAAGTTTGCATGGAGTTATTTGAATGCTGTAAAATGCCACATGTCACATGTTCTGAATGTATAGATTAGATGTAGTTTGTAAACCGTGTAGATGTACCTGTTTCCTTCTTTTCCATATTAGAAGCAGTGAGAAAGGCTTGTGCTTGAGTTGAACTTTTCTTTATTTTTAATTTGGAATCTTAAATGTTCATAAGTTATGCTAGCTTGTAGTTCTTCACCATTTCAAGTGAAAATATTAAAATAGAGAATCAATAAAGGAAATTTGTCAGTTAAAATCCATAGTCCATCCTCATTTGGATTTTTGCAATACAGAAACATGAATGATTAATTTTGAGCTATAAATAAAAATTGTTTGAACAAGGGAGAAATATTAGGTTTAAAATTTGGAAGGGAGCATTCCAAGATAGGAAATCAATTGCTGCTTATTATTTGTTGATTGTATTTTCATTAAACTAGATAAAGACTGAGCTACTGACACACAACTTTGTAACATCACTCGGTCTGATGAACTGATAGGCTTTGAAAATGTGTATAATATTGTTCCAATATTTTGGTGGGATAGTGCTTCAGAGCTTGCTGATAGGATTTAAAATGTTGTCTATCATGGCCAGCTGGAGTTCATGAAGTCCTGGAACTATGTTTCCTAACTAGAATTGTTCATAACCCTGACTTCTTAATGATTCATTTATTATTAAGAATAATTTACATTCTTTCAATTCCAGTTTTTTCTTTTCCTTCTGTAATGCATATTGAAATCAAACTGAATAGAAATGTTGGTCAGGACTTTTGTAATGAAAAATTGATATTAACTGGTCTGATTTTTAAACATCAACAGACTGTCAAAGCTCTTCCTGTGTGAATTCTGTCTTAAATATATGAAGAGTAAAAATATTTTGCTAAGGCATGCAAAAAAGTGTGGCTGGTTTCATCCTCCAGCCAATGAAATCTACAGAAGGAAGGACCTTTCAGTCTTTGAGGTAGGCGATAGTTCCTTTGTCTTAGTAACGGCTGCATGCTGTTTGAAGAGCAAGCATATATTGTAAAGAGAAATAAAGTTTCCTCTGACCATTGGAGGTCTGTGGCTGGCCCTGCAAGAAATATGAGTGCTGTGTACTTTTGATAGGTGTTTTGAATCTTAATGTTTAAGCCTGGTACGGCACTTTTAAATATTCAGAATTGTTCACATACATTAACTAGTTGAAATTATTACAACCACCCCGAATCATGTTCTTGTTATCTCTGATCTGATGAGCTAGTCTTTAATTACCAAAAATTACCACTGCTGGTAAAGTCATCCCAGTACCAGTGATTATTATTATTAGTTTTTGTAATTAAAGACTTTTCTCTCCCATCAGTGTGGCTCCCGCAGGTTCCCAACAATGAAATGGATTACCCAGCACTTGGGTAAATTTACCTAGTTGATTACGTCATTACCTTTACACCATAGAACTTACATGAACAGGATTTTCTCATTTGGTCCTAAATGTATTTGTCAGAACCTTAGTCCTCCCAGCTCATCATTCTTGTATATTTGAGGTAGCTTTCAAATTTGATCCTTTTCTTTATTTGTAATACCAGTATTTTAAATTGGTTTGAATTGTGTCTTTTTGTTGTCCTTTGGAATAGTATACATGCTGAAATAGTTTTTCCCCCTGACTTCTCATACACATGAGTCTTAGTAAGTTTTAACTTTTTCCTAGTCAGTGGAAAGTAGATATATATTAGGAGGACTTTCCACATAAGTAAATAGTACAATGCCCTTTTGTAGACATGGTTTTAAAAAAATAGTTAAGCTGGTCCAGATGCTGCATAATGTAAGTATTTTACACAGTGTCATGTAGGAAATTCCCTTCGTTATTTAATCGACTTAAGCCGTCTTTGGAAATTCTGCTCGGCAGAAAATGTGTCGACTGGTTCCTTACGATTCTTCTATAAGGAGCTAATATGTTATTGCTTTGTCTTGGTCAGATCATCAACTATTCTACAGTTGCAAAAATCCTGTTGAAAAAAACCACATGAACAAGGGAAGTTGTGCAAATGGTTTCTCCTTCAGTTTGGCTATGTGGTGACCCATTTTCCAGGCTGAAGGAGGTGGGAGAGCATAATGGATGGCAAGCTAGTCAGGTAGAATCTCTTGTGTGATTACCCAGTTATGCTGTGCAATCTCGAAAGGTTCCTGGCCAGTGTGGCAAATTTTTAGAAATATATGGCTCAAAGACTGAGAGATTATTTTAGATATTTGCTGTCTACTTCAAAGAGATACCATATTAAGGACTTGATACTGAGCTACCAAATCTCTTAGGTGGACATATTTGTTCTCGTTACAAACTAGGCTATACACCTTGATCTAATTTTGGGCAGTCCTTGTTTTGATTGTTTAACTTCTCTGTATGTGATCAATTTACATACAGTATTTGGCGAAAGCAGTCTGTCTCTCCCCCAACACTATATTGGTCAGGGAGAAGGAATAAGGAGTCTACATAGTGCTGGCAATGGCAGAGTCCAAGCAGCAGCACACAGACCCTGAGATTATTCCTGTGAGAATACAGCCCTTGACAGAAAACAGTTTGCCATCCCGATGTAAATAAATCACTGGCTGATTTAGAGTTTCTTCTGATGTGAAGTGAAAAATATTCAGTCATGTGAAAAAAAACTACAGCTTCTTTTAATTCTATGGTTTTACATATCAGGACATAAAAATCATATGGTCCTTAACAGGTCTGAAAATTAGATAAATATAACTTCAGATGAACAACGACACATGCCATATTACATGGTGCTATGATTTATTTAACAAAAATAAAGCCAAAATGGAGAAGCAATGTGTGAAAAACAAAGTACACCTTCTGATCCAACAGCTTTTAGAATCACCTTTAGCAGCAATAACATCAAATAATAGTTTTCTCTATGACTTTATTAGTCTCTCCCGTTGTGGAGGAATTTTGGGCCACTCTTCTTTACAATGTTGCTTCCATTCATTGAGGTTTGTGGGCATATGTTTATGCACAGCTCTCTGAAAGTCCTGCCACAGCATTGCAACTGGGTTGAGATCTGGACTTTGACTGGGCCATTGCAACTTGATTCTTTTTTTTTCAGCCATTCTGTTGTAGATTGGCTGATATGTTTGGGATCATTGTCTTGTTGTGTGACCCAGTTTTGGCCAAGCTTTAGCTGTTGGACAGATGGCCTCACATTTGACTCTAGAATACTTCGGTATATAGAGGAATTCATAGTCAACTCAGTGACTGTAGCTGCAAAACAAGTCCAAATCGTCACACCTCCACCATTGTGCTTGACAGTGGGAGTGTGCTGCTGTGTTTGGTTGTCACCAAACATGGCACTGTATATTATGCATACATCTCCACTCTGGTCTCATCTGTCCAAAGGACATTGTTCCAGAAATCTTGTGGTTTGTCCAGATACAACTTTGCAAACCTAAGCTGTGCTGCCATGTTCTTTTTAGAGAGAAGAGGCTTTCTCCTGGCAACCCTTCCAAACAAACCATACCTGTACTGTATGTAATTGTACTGTCATGAACTTTAACGTTTCACATGATAACTGAGGCCTGTAGAGTCTGAGATGTAACTTGTGGGTTTTTTTGCAATTTCTCTCAGCATTACACAGTCTGCTTTGGGGTGAATTTTCTTGGATGTCCACTCCTGGGAAAATTGGCAATTGTCTTGAATGCTTTCCATTTGTGAATAATCTTCCTCACTATAGAATTATGGATTTCAAGTTGTTTGAAAATGGCCTTAACAGTTGCTTCTCTGTGATCATTGCTGATGTCTTTCCTCCTTCGCGTGTGTTAATACACCTGAATGCTACAGATCAGCATACCACTAAAACTTTGGCTTTTATAGAGGTTGTCACCCTTGCTGATGATCAGTTACTCAGTGGCAATTGATTAGCAGCACTTGGCTGCTACTTAGTCCCTTAATTCCTATGGAAGCAGTAAGGGTGTACTTCATTTTTCACACATGACTTCTCCAGTTTGGCTTTACTTTTGTTAAATAAATCATGGCACCATGTAATATGTCATGTGTTGTTGTTCATCTGAAGTTGTATTTATCTAATTTTCAGACCTGCTAAGGACCAGATGATTTTTATTATGTCCTGATACGTAAAACCATAGAATTCAAAGAGGGTGTACTTTGATTTTCACCTGACTGTAGCATGAGAGGTGATTCTAGCTAAATCTTCACTATTTGTTCCTGAAGTGTGCAGATTTATACCATTCATCTTATTTTTGGCAACACCTCAAGGAAAACTGGAGAGTTGTTTTCCTTGTGGGATAGCTAGCCTGATGCCTTCCATATGTTTTGCAGTATAGCTTCCATAATTCTTCCCTCTTGGTCACATTGCATGAAGTTTGTAGGAATTATAGAACTCGTTATGTTTACATATACCTTCCTTTTTATGTGAATTCTAGTGTTTTTTGTGGATTCCACTCTACATATTCTACTGAAATTCACCTTCAGGCTTTTAATCTTCAGTATGTGCCTACTTAAGAATTCAGTTTGTAAGGAAGTCATGTTGGCTGGATAGCTCAGTGGGTTAAGCATCTAGAACCATTGTAGATTCCTGAATCTACAATGGGCGGGGTAAAAATAGAACACCTAAATAAAATAAATAAAAATAGCTGCAGAGGCAGAGTTTGGGAGTTCAATTCCTTACTGGGCATCCGAGATTAGTAAGCTTTGTTTGGCTTTGAGCAAAGTGCACAATCCCAGGATGCTCCCAGAAAAGGGGAATGGTAAACCACTTCTGAGTACTTTCTACCTACAAAACACTGAAAACGGTTACCATAAATCAGAATCGATTTGATAGGGCAAAATTACTAAGTATATTGCAAAAAATACTTTTAGACAATATAATGCTGAAAGTGTCAGTAGTACCGAATGAATGAATGTAGATCTGACAACAATTTGAAAGGAAAAAAGTGTTCAGCTAAATATTTAGATTAACAAAGTCTGATTATGCATCCCTTTTCCCCCCAGTTGTGTTGAAATAATGGAAGATTCCATTTGAAGCTGTTATGAGAATATATTTAAAATTCAGCAGGAGTTCTGTGTTTTAGACCTGGAATGGCAGGAACTGCAAAGCAGATGTCTTTGCAGAAGGAAATCCATGCTGCTGTTCTGTTAACTACTGCTATATATATCAAGCTGTATAATATATTGCAGTGATCGCTAGTCTTGTGAGTTTTGATGGCTTTGTGTAGTTTGCTTTCAGTTGTTTTACCATACCATATACTTTTTGAGCTAATATAAATATACTTTTTGGGTTAATATAAAATATGTCCTTCATGCTATTCAACACCTACTAGGAGGAGAGGCCATCTGGGGATCCGTCGTGCCATGTTATTGGCACTATGGCAGCTTAGACTTATTCTTTCAGTAAAACTTAAGGAGGGAGTAGAATTTCTGAACTGGCAATGTCCCAGATGAAGGTGAACAAACTGGAACAGAAGTGGGTGAGGTTCTGTAGGTTTGCCATTTGTCTGACATATGAATGTAAGACAAAGTTGAACTTTCCTTGAAGATTCAGTAGTGTAGTTCTCACACTCTGACCTGCTCTTTGGTATGTATGTAATGATGTTCGTGGGAAATCTTTTGCCAGCTTAAAACTATTTTTTTCAACTGTTCTCAGTCCTAGGGAAGTACAAGCTGGTCACAATAAATAATTCATGCCTTGATTACATCTAGATTATTTCTAACATGTTCTCTGAGACTGTCTTTGAAAAGTACGCAGAAATTTTAGTAGATATAAAATGGAAGTTTGTTGACTGAAATCAACTATTGGGAACATATTGTGCAACTATACTGACTTTGTTTCCTCAGTCCAGGTCACAGTCCTGGAGTACTGCTGTGCACATGGACTGTGTCCAGTGAATCTCTGTCCCTCCCAATTTCGAAAATTATTTTATTACTGTATAAATTGTTAATTAAAAATACTAGGAGGCTGACATGCTGAAAAGCAAAGCATTAGCCTGCAGTAACATCTTTATTTTCACACTCATTGTCTGTCTGTCTGTCTGTCTGTCTGTCTGTCTGTCTTTCTTTCTTTCTTTCTTTCTTTCTTTCTTTCTTTCTTTCTTTCTTTCTTTCTGAACTGCTTTACTTATTTATTTTCGTTGATGATTATTTTGTGCTTGTGCAAATATCTTTGGTTATCAACAGTTTGCCTTCTGTGAAATGGGTTGTTTGTGATGCTTTCTTATGCCAATTCATTATTTGTCATTGGCCCATTCTCTGCTGTATTAAGATTTTGAGCAAAATGATTTTGTTTCATCCTCACTAATCTATCTTCAAGGAAATGAGAGTCATTTTGTAAAATTGCCCACAACATTCTTGACACTCCAGTTACACTCAGTGACCCTCAAAAGTTGGAGACACTTATGATCTGGTTGTTGAATGTTGAGCAAGTATGGTGTAATCAATGGAGCGATAGACTAGGAGTCAGGCAACCTGAGGTCAAATCTCTATTTTACCATGGAAACTCACTGGTGGGTGGCACTGGTAAAACGACTTCTTAAATTTCTTATATGCCTTGAAAGCCCTATTAGGGTCACTGCAAGTTGGATGCAGCTTGACAGCACTTGATAACAACAAATAATTTCTATGTAAGCCTATCTGTATTTTTAGCAATTTCTTATACTCTATACCACGCTGTCTGAAATATAGTTAATGTCAAAATAAAGCAAATGCTTCGTAACTGAGGCACTTACTGCCACATCCATGCATATTTGACTTGTTTCCTCTCATGTTTCTGGTTATTTGAGGATTAATATGACACCTGCCGTAGATTTTGTGTATCTTTTGTGACTGTATTTGGATGTGAGTTATTGCTAGCAGCTTTCAGTATTTCTGTAAAAAAACAGAAAGGCAAGATGGAAGTTTTTGATAAATAAATAATGCACATTGAATGGGTAACTAAATGACGGAGAATGTTCGAAAAAATAGCAGGTCAAAATATAATGCAGATATAAGAGAGCACATCTAGGAAAGAACACATTTAAGTCCAGATTTCCATTCAGAAAATAAAGGGGAACAGCTTTAAATATTTGGTTTAATCTCTTTGTTCATAAAAGAATTTATTTAGAGTCAAAGGAAATCTTAGTCTATCTTAAGAAAGAATTAGGAAAAGGTTGTTTAGTCCTTAAGATTACATAAATGTAAGAGATGGTGATACCTTTTATTGCACAAATAAAATAACAAATTGCAAACTTTTGTGGAGAAAATTCCACTTCATCAAGCTAAACTCCACAACTTCATGGAGAGTGCAGAAAAATTAAATAAGATTAGTTTATTTATTTTATTTATTTATTTTATTTATATCCCGCCTATCTAGCCAGCTAAGACCACTCTAGGCGGCTTACAACATAAAAATACACAATAAAAGTATATATAAGACAATTTTTACAGAGTAAAACATACCAAGAAGATAGAGCAAGCAATAAAGGAAGGGAAAAAGAGGAGATCAGTGATTGACTGGAGGGAAGGCCTGCCGGAACATCCATGTTTTCAGCTGATTTTTAAAGATACCCAGCGAGGGAGCCACACGAATCTCAGGAGGAAGGTTGTTCCAGAGGCGAGGAGCCACCGCCGAGAAGGCCCGATTTCTTGTCTTTTCCTTCCGGGCCTCCCTCGGCGTTAGGCTCCTCAGCCTCACCTCCTGGCTCGCCCAAGTGATACGGATAGATCTTGGTGGGAGTAGGCGTTCCGCCAAATATCGAGGCCCTAAATCGTTTAGGGCTTTATACGTAAGCATCAACACTTTGAAGTCGATGCGGAAGCGGATGGGCAGCCAATGCAATGCGGCCAGCGTGGGTGAAATATGTTGGTATTTTTTCACTTCGCTAAGAAGTCTGGCCACTGCAGTTTGTGTTGCGTCACTCTGAAACTTTCAGTATTTCACTAAAGGTAACAATAGATTCTGTAGTTCTGTGTAAAAACCACTGTGCATAATGCCAAACTATAGCTCCCTGGTTAGTAAGCAATACTTCCAAAGCTTGGAATTTTGGTATTGACTTTCTCTTCCTTCATTCCTGTCTTCAGTAATCAGCAGCTTAACATAATGTGCCCACAAATTTCTGTTCTGTTTAATCAGAAAGAAAAACAAATGTAGACAATTAATATTAAGATTTTTGTTTGTTTGTTTCAGGGGAAAAGTGGAACTAGTGGTTGCCTACAATATTAAAAACAGAGGATTTTTACCAATATCACTCTGTATCTGTGCATTTATTTCATAGAAATACGGTATACAATGACCCTACAATTTTGTGAAATATTGACATTGAAAATTCTCTTCTTCATAGGTTGATGGGAATGTGAGCAAAATTTATTGCCAAAATCTTTGCTTATTAGCAAAGCTCTTTCTGGACCACAAAACCTTATATTATGATGTCGAGCCATTTCTTTTCTATGTTCTCACAAAAAACGATGAGAAAGGATGCCACTTGGTTGGATACTTCTCTAAGGTAAAAGTCTGATTTCAGCATTGTAAGACTATCATGATTTTGTATGAAAGTTTCAGTACTTTCTGTTTTGGTGTGCATAATTTCAACTAAAAACAATTCCAGTTTTCTGATTATAAATAAGTAAATATTTACTTACCTAGTATTTACTCACCAGCTTACCCAGTATTCTGCCCTATTTATTTCCCTCATTCTTGAGCTGTTGTTGATTAAAGGCCAAAGAAAAATCATTGTTTGAAGCATTAGTCATTATTGTACTCTGTCAAGAGTTGTAGAGTTGTACTTCTAACTTACCTGGCATATGTAGACTTAATCAGGTTTGTGCATGTTCTTGAGCACTTAGCCAAAAGGCAGCAAGTGAGCTGCTATTTACGGATTCGGGGGGGGGGGGATAGTTCTCCTGAGGCAATAATCTCTAATGTGTCTACACTTAAAGGGAATTCTAGGTTGTTTGAATTGTAGTCTATACTAGTTGTTTTGAAGTACATCATGGGGGCCTGGGAACAGACCACAATCTTAGAAGGACAAAAACCTTCAGAAAGCTTGAAGACAGAGGAGAAGGTTTTAATGTTTTAAGGTTTTAATAGGTGGCTTGTTCTCCCTTTAACATTTTGGTGTGAAGCAATGTCCCATTTGCTTGATGGATATGTACAATCAAGTGTAGGTAGAAAGTCTTGGTATATGCATACTATTAACTGTTAGAATACAGTACTCTGTTCTTGCATTCAAAGATATACAAATCACTCTTAGAAGGGAGCACCTAGCTTCTCCCTTCTCTGTCACTGCTTTCTAGATATGGAAAGCTATGCATCTGCTGTGGAGACATTCATCCTTGTGTTTGGCCTTTATATGTGAGCAGGAATCTGGAAGATCACAGGCTTTGCTTATATGTAGAGCCCACATGCTGGAACATCTGCAATGCAGACACATCACTTCCCGTATGTAGAGGACAACAAAAGCTGAATTGACACCCCTTACTAAGCATAGTGACTATTTTCTTTGGAGATGATGACTGAACACTCATTCTTTTCCTTTAGAACTTGAAACTATGGAGACTAAAATCACAGACGTGCATCGACAATAGCTGAATTTAGCTTCATGATTATGTGGATTAGGAACATGAGTAATACTTCCTAAATTCCCTATTTTCACTGATTTAGATGAGTTTCCAAGGCTGTTACTAAACTCTTTTCTGTATCTTGTTGTGGTCGAAGGTCAGCATGTACATGCCCATAGCTATCCTTTGTGTTTTTATCACCCTCAATAATTTGATGACAGCATCAAGCTTGATCATCCCCTTCTCCACATCTTTTATAACTAACTGCCATCCACTTACTGCATGTGGTTGTAGGAAACCTGTGCTTCAAACACCTTTTTAAATAAATGGTTCTGCCAGTTAGAAGTACTTAGAGACAGATGGAAAGTGATTGAAAAGTGGTAACTTATTTTACTGGCCATTATTTGTGGCTCAATCTGATATATTCAGTAGATAAATTTGTAGTACTATCTACTAATTTTATATACTGAACAAAAAAGTTAGAATATAAACAAAATTCTTTATTCCATCCCATTTCATTCAAGTTTGCTAATGCAGTTTGTTACCTTTTTTTTCTGGTCTTAACTCCTAAGGTGATATCTTGTAAAATACAATTTTTTTAGAAGTTAAGTTTGGTTTGCTCCTGTGCCTCACAGGTGATACTAAATTTTATGGGATTATTTTGTTTTATTATTAGTTCACCTTGCTGGGCTCTTCTACAAAGATAAAAGCAAGAGTTTGGAATTGCCCATCTCAGCAGTGTTTTGGCATACTTGATCTGTTTTTTTCTTCCCACAGGAAAAGCTCTGCCAACAGAAGTATAATGTTTCCTGCATAATGATCATGCCTCAGTACCAAAGGCAAGGATTTGGAAGATTTCTCATTGATTTCAGTAAGTGAAAGGATTTATTTACATTCAAGTTCCTGGGAAATTATGATTGTTATGGGAATACAATGACATAAGAACTTCGTTTAACCTGTTTTATCATTGTTGCTTTTACCAATAGATAATGGGATTTCTATTACTACAGTGGTGCCTCGCTTAATGAGCACACCGGTTAACGACGAAATTGCATAGCGCTTTGGTTTTTGCGATTGCATTGCGATGTTTTAAATGGAAAAATTGCTTTGCGATGATCGGTAAGCTGTTTCACTTACCGATTTTCACATAGTGATGTTTTCCCAACAGCTGATTGGCGGTTCCAAAATGGCCGCCGGTTAAAAAACATGGCCGCCCGCTGTGTTTTGGGATGGATTCCTCGCATACTGGGCAGCGAAAATGGCCGCCGTATGGAGGATTTTCGCTTAAAGGTAAGTTTTTTGCTCATAGGAACGCATTGAAGGGGTTTCAATGCATTCCTATGGGCTTTTAAAAATCGCTTAGCGATGTTTTCGGTTAGCGGTGATTTTTGCTGCACCGATTAACATCGCTAAGCGAGGCACCACTGTATTTGTGTAGTCACAGGAAAAGCTCCCTGAAGTGAAAAATCTGCCTCTGTTGTACTCCAGGAAATTGAGTACAACTCTCTGCAGTAATATTAGCTCTCAAAGCTATTATGCTGAATGAATTGTCTAAATTGCATTCATTTATATTGCTCATTAGTGGAAAGAGTGGCAATTATTTGTGATTAAAACCAAGGAAGGTGTTCATCCAGGGCATTCTCTAGTTTCCATATATGTGACATGGAGTCTATTTTAGCTGAAGAATGCTAATGATGGGAGACTATACTATTTTTTTTTTCTTCCCTTGTTTCTTTTCTCTTTTTTTAAAATGTCATTACTTACTCCTGAAGTAAAGGATCATTTTGGCAGCACTGTATCAGTGGGTATAATATTTCTCATGCAGTTGTAGGTTTCATATACTTTGAACAACTCAAACAATAACTCTTAAATTGTTTCAGTATGATCAAAATTGGTATAACAATAAAACATAATACGTATATAACTCAGTAGGCATATGATGTGGTTAAATTCTCTGACTCTTCAACGGAACTTATGGAAACCATCTTTTGGAAGCCATATCTTAATGTAACAGATTATGCCCTCACATTGAGCATGGTCATATTAACTGGATGAGTACAATACAAATAATGTGGCTCAGATACAAAGTTTCAGATGTAAGGTAACATCCTGATGGGGTTTTGTGTTTGTACATTTTTCTTCCACTTCAGGGTAGGAGGCATATTTGTATATAGAATAATATGTCTTTAGATGAACCCTATCATTTCTAGTACTCTGTTGTCTTCTGCTTCAGCAGGTATTTTCTGACTAGAGAAAATCTGTTGAATAAGAAGCACAGCAAGCAATCACCCTGCATATTTAGGAGACTCTGAAAGAAAAAGTACTTCAAAGTATTTCTAGGCCCTGAAAATTATATCAATAAACCAAGGAGAGCTGCCATTTTAGCATGTTTCTCAAGCATCAATTTGCTATTTTTCATCTCTTCGTGTCCTCATAGTTGGAGAGCTCCCGAAAGACACTGGACTAGAGAGGTACCATCTTAAATCTCCATATGGGCAGCAAGAACAGTCTTTATTTGTCAACTTGTGTCTGAATTTTTCATTTGACTAGATTCATTAGTTCTGGACCATTTCTACACATGAGTATGTTTCCCCTCATGTGGCTAGAACTAGTATTATTTAGGAAACTCTAGCACCATGAGTATTGGACACACTTTTCTCATTCATTGGTAGAAGAGGAGCACCAGAAATCTTGTCTTTGCACTCTAGAGCGTGGATTGATGATTGTAGCCTTCAGATTTTCCTGAAACATATCTCCCATTAGTCCCAGCTAGCATTGCTGATGGTGATGTACAGTATGATGGAAACTGCAATCCCATAACAAGCTAGAGTGTCTACTTCAGCATCCACACACTATTTTAAAACAATCAGACTTGATGAGCTCACTGCCTAGAAACTTCTGAGTACAGGATGTTTCAGAGAAATGTGGACTAACCCTTATGTAGGGACATATCGCCTTCCTTCATGTTGAGTACTCTTCATATTTGTTGAGGAATAGCACTGCTTTGATACTTCTTGTATGTTTCCATTGAAAAATGCTTCTGAGAATGTCCCACACAATTTCTTATCTATTATTATTAATATACTAAATGATATAATTATTCTTAATATTGGAAGAAGAAAGAAGGGAAATTTGAAAGATTCAGTATTCTTAAGTCTTGGAATATCACTAGTTTAAGAAACCTGTATGTTTTGTGAGAACTAAGGAATTCTTACTGTTAAATATTGCTCAAACATTGAAGGTGGGGGGGAGTAAGTTAAATGTTTTCATTTCCAGTTAGGGCAGATTCAGCGACGTCTGTTGAAAAAGAGTAGAATGCCACCCACCTTGCTTCAAGCAGTCTTGATAACCAGTTTTGACTAATGATTGTCTTCCCTTGTAATGTATATTTCATATTTGCGTGGTTATCAAGGTTTGAATGTGTGTTTAATAGCTTTTGCCTTTCACTTGTGTATTTTAGAGATATATTCTCTGCTTGTTATGTTATTGAGCTCTTGTATTTTTAGAATCTAACTTAAAACATTATTTTTGATATTTTATTATATTTTGCTCCTGTACAACATCCCCTCTGCACAGCGCTGCACTGAGGCCATGCAGTTGAGTCAGTGTTGCTGCCCATTTCCTTCCGGTCACGGCCGGAACCCCATGAACATAGGGTGGACATCCCACCCAGCATTCTACAAAATTAGAGGGGATATTGCTCTTGTATCTTAAGTATTTGCCTAAAACCTAAGTTTTAACACCTGTGGCTTTCCATAAGTTGGATGGATATATTTTTAAGTTTATGTACCTACAGTTTTCTACATTGCTGTAAGACTTTTGTATTTTACAGCAACTCTGAGGTGATTTTGTGCACATGGACCATAGAGGCAGGGTAGATAAATAAAGCTGGGTAGGAATAGACAAGGAGAAGTTGCTTGGAATGATTGCAACTATGAAATATTTATACCTTGACACTAGTGAATTTTGAAATGATTGTGATTTTTTGATTTCATTTATTGGGATAAATGCCACCTGTGACTAACACAGCCTTCTGATTTTTCCTTGGAGATATATGGAATTTCTTAGAGTCAAACACCTAATTTCAGGGTCTGACATAGTTTAAGTTGTGTTTATGCCTATGCGATGCATTGGAGATAAGAATGTAAACTAAACTGAGTGCTGTTGGAGCTTGCATTTTTAAAAATGGTTTTTCACAAGGACTTCACCTAAAATGCATATTGTATGAAGTGGCCCTTATCAGCAGCCCTGTCTGAAGGATTCATGGTGGAGAAATGCGGGTAAGTTTGCAGGTTCTTTTTTCCTTCCTCCATCCAATGAATTCTTCACCTAAAAGGTAAATAGGTCATGGTGGAAATTTTCCTACATAGAACTGTGTGCCTCTCCAGAATCTTTTTGGTTACACTGGTGAATGTCAATTCTAGTGGGGACCTAGTTCTGTGATCAGTAAGTCCTTTTACTTCAAGTGTTGCAAGGGGAGAAATTCCTCCATTTTCCTCCCATACCCTATAAGCACCCTGCAAGTTATCACTGCATATGATATCTTAAATACTTTTGGTCATTTGTAGAGAAAGTTATCATGTGGATCTTGAAATATATGTTTAGAGGAGTTTGTGCTTCATTGTCTCTCTCTCTCAGCCTGTAATAGGTATGTCAGGCGCATTCCTCTTGACTGGGAATCATTTCAAGGGGGGGGTGTCTTTCAAAGTGAAAAAACACACAAAAATGCACCTGCCAATTCTGAGTATAGTATCTTGCAGTTATTGATATGGTCATTTAGCACTGCATTCTTATGATATGGCCATTTTTATTGGGATTGAAAAGAAACCCCCCTCTGCATTTATTGTCAGATTTTGTTTGTTGTCATTTCACCTTTTGGGTTGATTTCTCCCTCCTTGCAACAAAATAAGCAATAAACAAAGTATTTTCAGTACTTCTACATCATTTGTCATTCACGATTCTTTGAAATTTGGGATGTACCAGCCAGAGTGCATAATGGACTACCATCAGAGATCATTATTCATTTTGTATTAATTTTTTTTCCATTCTGGTGAAACTGACTGGATTTCCATATTTTGTTTAACAAAAACAAAACAAAAATGAAATATTTATTTATGTATTTATTTATTTAAAATATCTTCTACCCCACCTTTCTTCTTAAAAAGGACCCAGGGCGGCTTACATAATTAAGACAGTATTTTAAAGCTAACCAGTGAATATACACTTACTAAAAAGGATCAAACAAACACCATATTAAAAACCATACATTTATGGTATCTTTGAAATGAATAAATGTAATCTATGAGATTTAATCCATTGAGATAAATTTTGAAGGACATACCCTATTATAGACTAAAATTCCAGATATTGGCTAGGATAATTCACATTTCTTAAAAGCACAGAATAAGAACTAATCTAGGAGAATAGATAGACAATAGACTCCGGGCTCTTTTAGGCACAACATTCATTTTTAGCAGATCTTTTAGCAGAATTTTCCCCAGTTGCCAGATGGGATTCCTCTTATCTCAGTTTGCGGTTGCCACTAGCACATCCCACTCTATTTTATACCTCCCCAAGCCCTTGTTTATTTTTAAGCCTCTTTGTACCTGGGAAGGACTGTAACTTTGAGGCACTAGGTAGGCATTTTAGTAAGGAAGTTCAAGCTCACCACTGAAATCCCTGCTCCCTTTTCCATCTGCAGGCTGCTTCTGTGGAGAGAATGAAAGATCCCTTGCCATGGGGAAGCATTCCACAGAATTTCACTCCTTGAACTTCATAATCAGCATTATACAAAATAAATGCAAATATACACCCTCCTCACAGCTGCTTCCTCACTGACGGTGTCCTTTCAAGAGGTTAACAGATGCTGCG